GCAAAACGTTGTGTTTGAAATCACTGGTGTATTTATTGTATTGTGCCATCATGAAAACAGTGTAAAGAAACAGTATGAAATCATTCGATAAATAGAGAGCACGAACATTTATGTTCAAGGATTAATTGTTCAACGTGGAAATAGGCAACGAAACTGATGAGAAAAAAAGAATAGATAAATACAAGCCACAGCACAAGTCCAATGTTTCTTTGAACTTCGATTCTTGGCTTGACAGGTTATGACTAAATTTCATAATGATATTTCTATATTAATCCCGAATACGTATTCACAATCATAGTCTTTCATAGAGCCGATAGAAATATCTGGCAATGAGCTATCAAATGTGCACATAAAAATTGCGCGTGCATACGTCTATTTACATGCGAACGGAGAAAAGCTAGAGATGCAATAGTCTACCTTTGCAGAGTGTAGTGAAAATAATACTATGTTTTCTTTTGATGCGTTTTTCTCGCTTCGATTTCTATTTGATTCATGATTGTCCTACATCAAAAGATGCAGTCGAATCTGCACTTTCTTTCTATGGGTTTGGTTGTAGGAAAAGGACAAACTATAGGGAAGAAAAGTGAAAAATACTAATAGAGGAAAACCAATTGAGGTTCACTGTATATAAGGTAGAAACTTTGCACCCATTCCAATCCCATCGCTCTCCCTCTCAGAAACCGTGACAGGCACTACGGCAGCCAATCTTAGTAGCAATCCATTACAGACTGTAATACCTGCTAGTCACAGACCATTACAAAACATGACATAACTTGTTGATACGCGATCAGAGACCGTTTATCAATGACGGCTTGTAATAATATACTCATTATTTCTTTTTTGCATTTCTGGAGGATTGAGTAAAAGCAGAATGAAGAAATGTCTCCACAATATATTTTAAAAAAATAATCTCTCTATGATTACCAACAGCTACATCGTGTTTCACATTTTAAGCTTACAGTATTTGCGCTAACACCTTTATTTATTACTTTTTTCGTTTTAGGTCTCAATCCACCAACAGCAGATAATCGGTTATCATATGTGGACTATGATGATCAACGTGATTTAGCATCTAAATTATTCCAATGGCAATGTCCACGATGTACATTTCTTAACAATGATTCATTTCGCATATGTGAAATGTGTTCATATGAAAAAGGTTCTTAGTATTATCCGATTATTCACGCAGAAAATTCTTCGTTCATGTTCACTAGCTTCTGTCTCAGATATTGAAACGAGTGGGACCAACGAGTGTAAATCCAGATCGACAAAAAATAGCGAAAAGTTTTGTGAGACACGATCGAAAAGGAGTGTTGAAGTATATAGGGTAGAAATATGAATCACCTTCCGTTGCCCCCGCACATCCTACCATACAAATCGCGACAGACATTTTAAATAAAATTTAATTATTATTTAAATAACATTGGATAATTATTGAATTAATATTTAATTTATAGATAATAATTATCTAATAAATTGCTAATTATTCGCTGATTAACTAACCTTTTGAAAATGATTATTCACCCATTAATGAAAACAGTATTAAAGGTTATACAGACAAAACTCAACCATCTCATACCGCTGCTCAGAGATCGTGTTAGACATCCTGAGATCTCATCATAAACTCGGCAGACACCGCAGAATCCCATCACAAATAATGACATACATCTTACGTGTAGCGGTAGTTCTGTGGATGTTGTTGTGAAGGTGGGTGTAGGTGTTGCGGAATAAAAGTACCATGCCAGTGCCCTCACACCCTAGTTTGTAGCTCGCTCAGCAAGGTAGATGCTTTATGAAGGTACTATCGTGAAACACTTGTGTAATTGACTTCACTGTTTGAATAGTTCCATGCTTTAATTTTAACTTTTCAAGTTTCAGCTCTTAAATCTTGACATGTGTGAAGAAGATGATAAACACAGATCATGTATACAAACTTGAAAGTTAATTTTAGTTCAAGGTTCAGGTTTTAAATTTCAATTCAATTTTCAACTACACACATTTCTCTCGATGTAAGTGCCATAGAAAAATAGACCATTGAAAATTGAATGTTGAATTGATTTCAGCTTTCAAGTTTCACACTGCTGATTTCTTCCTCTAATACATTTTCAATGAACTAGATTAAATCACGACTCTAAATTGTGAATAATGAAGTTTTATCTTTGTCGAACTGAATTTGCTTGTATTTTCTACTGGAATAATTGCTTTATGATACAAAGATAAGGATAAGTGAGAAATCAAAAGTAGACACCTGTTTGGTCTCAGTTAAATGTTATTTAGAACGACGATGTGTGTACTTTATTTTAGTCCCATGTTAGATGAATTACTATAAACTTCAATGAAGAGTGTCCGTCGTCTTGCGACAGAGTGCGGATATGAGTGATGTGGAAACCTGTTAAGTGACACAGCAGCTGATTATTCTTAATTCTGATTAGGCGAAAGTTCGAATAATTGATAAGTCAGAAAAGAATTCCCTACTCGCATTCACTTCTTACATCAGAATATATATCTAAGACATCCCACAGATCAGATACTTCGCCCATATCTGTTAGATTCTTTACCGCTTACATAAATCAGTGATACAAGGAATCTAGGTTAGAAATCTTTGAGAAGAATCACTAAATTAGCAAACGTATATAAACTTTTACACAAAGGGAGACATGAATCTTTGATTTTTACAACAGCAAAAGTTGTATTAGAATTGATAGTGCCGATAAACCAATAGTTTCTTTTTGTAGTCAATATTAATTCGAGATGCATTTCACTTAAGTAAAGTACTCAAGTTATCATCTGTAATAAAAATTAACTTGAGATCAAGCGAATGTCATATAGAATATAAGAATAAATTAGCTAAACTGATATGAAAAAAGACTCAAGACGATATCAGAAGACTCTAAATTATAACAAAGGAAGTATCTGTTTCTCTGATATACGGAAGCCATGAAGTGGAATTTCAATATAAAATTAAAAATATTAGATCAAGGGGAAATAAACTAATTTCTATTCTGGAAATCATTATACATCATTAGAAGTCACCAAAAATGATAACAATGCCTTAAGAATACAAGTAATGACTAGAAATACTGGAAGACTGTAGGAAGCCAACAGAAGCTATGATAAGCCATAAGAAATCATCAGAAATGAATAAAAAATCACCCTAAACCATAGAAAATCTGTAGTAATAAGATTAATATAAAACCCGTGCACGGTGAACTGATAAAAACGGATTTCCAGTAATAAAAGTCACTAGAAACCATCAACGAGTGAAAATGATGCTGAAGTCTATCGAAAATGATACAACAAGGCTATTATAAAAAGAATGATGATCTTTTATTGCAGATGCTTCGACCAAGACTGAAACGGCCATAAATGAAGCAAGAAGAAAAAGCTCTAGCAGAGTTCGAGTAATTCAAACAATTCGCTGGTGCTTTGTCCTTTTCTCATACTTATTTTCTTTTGTTCATAGAATGATGCAGCTGCAGTAGGCGACAACAGTTCCGTATACACTGAAGCCAGCTTTATTTCTCCACAGGTCAGACGACAATCACTCGAGAAAATGGATATGCATCAAATATCTTATACTTTTAGATATCGACCATGAGAATCAACCGTCGAATAAATAAAGGTAGGATATCGTTGATTATTGCCTCAAAGTGAGCAAAACTATTGATAATCCCAATTATTTGATTGAAATCACTGCTATTCGTCAGACGCATTGAGTAAATTGGTGAAATTCTCAGATCATATAGTCACTTTTCGAAGAATTTTTCTCGCTTGTCGATAATTTCCGTATGTGTAATTACTTGATTTTTTAAAATAAATGTCACAATTCATTCATAGACTCGAAATGTATGACGCTTATCAGAATGAGATTTTCGCCTTCTTTGTATTTCTGCCATGATGTCTCAGTGAAAACATGTGAATATGTTTTAAATAAAAAGAATGCAACAAATCACTGTTTTAAGAAAATATTGTGCTCACGCATTATCTCGAGTAAGGAATACAGTTCGAGACATTGACTTTCCACATAATTGACGAAATGGTGTTTTGAAAATGCCTCCTCAAAGGGAATGAAATTATAAGAAACTCATCATCTAATTGAATATCAAGTAAAAGTCAAAAACAAAATATGATTTTGCGATTACTCTAACATCATCTCGTAATGAATAAGAGATTTGTTTTTCCTTCACTTTCTGAAGGACACCATCCTAGATACGGTCGTTTTGCCATCGAACAACAATTGTACACATAAGAGTTGATCGATGATGGCTTTTTATTCTAAAAGCTATCTTGCTCTCGCAGATTGGCGATACCTGACCATAGACAACACCCGATGGCCAACTTTTTTAAAAGTCATATAAACAGAACAAGCATCCTTACTTATGCTTACGTTTTGCGTTGTGCAGCGAAAAAGACTAGAACAGAAAAAATTATGCTTAGAAATCAACCTATCTAAATCGATGGAGAACGTCATCTCAGAAGTGTCTCGAACAAGATCAACTATACTTACATATTGTATGTAAAAGTGTATTTAGTTTTTCTTGTTAGTTGGAATCAATCAACTGCTATTCTATATATATTTTGAACTTAAAATGCGACAATGAAAACTTCTAGTTTCATTGATTATTTTAGTACTTGGTGAAGTTTAGATTCTTCATGATCACGTTATAAATATAGTTCGCTGAATTTCTACAAGTTTTTGTCAACCAACAGGTTCTTGACTTCATGATTTCATCTATTTTAATGAGTTCCTGGACTTCATTGAATTTCGATGGTTCGTGCAGTCAATAGAGTTACTCAGATTCTTCTCATTACATCTCTTTCTTCAATATTCAGAATCTACGACATGTACCATAGATATGTTATTATTCGGAGAAAGGAAGTTATGCATTGACGATGTATCTGATAATGCATAGAAATTTTAAAAGTAAAAATTATTATAATCTTGATTTATTTATAAAAGTCAGAGTTTGTGAGTTCCACACTTTAGTCCTGAAAGGAATCGCACTGACAAGTTTCTTAATATCATATTAATATGGGTAGAAATTCATTTCATCTGTGCAGTTTTACTTTATTTGATAACATATCTCACTATGTTTAGTATGATCTATTGCTCGTTCAGTATTATGTAATGTTGTATACTCTGCCCGTTCTCTTGCAACACAAAGCTCTGCGCTTTTTCGTATCTGTCATTAATCTCTTTTTTTTGCTCAAAGACATAATGACCTCTTCGTGTATCCATTGAAGTTTTAATAGAAAAAGATTATAGAATTATTTCTTTAATACAAAAAAATATATTGACTCTTTTGGAACCCATCTTCGGTTGTCATATAATCATATGTGTCCTTTGCCAGTTATAAATTCATATTCTTTTTATATATTAACTTTTACGATTATAATTTCTATCACGATATATGTATATCATAATACACTGTTCTAAAAAATAATCCATTTTTATACACAATTTCATAGATATCAAGTTTTAAACTAACGGATATAAAATGTAATGGATGCTTCCCCTAGAAAAATGAGCCTCTCTGTATTTTAATGACATATCTTTTAATATCCACTTCTTTAGGCTTTCTTAATTTAAGTGACATTCGATGACGTCCAATACATCAAGAATGTTATTTCAGTACTACCAAAGTATAGAAATGGAATCTTCAGAATAGAGTGAACATTTCAGTAGATTGTAGTGCGAAGTTTCACATCCATCAACTCACACAACAGTAGTACCAAGTCAACTTATCATCTTTTATCATCAAGAACCATTGACTACTGTAGTGTTCAGATTTAAATATATCAAAGTATTCAATTTTTGAGACAGATTTGTAGATTTTATCAATTATATTGAAAGAAGCTATCATACAAAAACCGTATGATATAAGAAAAATAACGTAATAGAAAAGTTTTTTTTTACAAAATTGTTCACGCGTGACTGTTTGTTTGACACGTATCCTGTAAAATTACGGATTTCATATATATTAATAAGAATTATACCGCTTTGTAGAGAATTAAAAGAGATATTATTAGCATAGAGTGAGGCCTATGTTTCCTGGGATATTCGTTAGAAGATATTATTGAGAAACATCTAGCATTACTATATCTTAATATTTTACATGATTATACATTTATTCTGATGCGCTATGTTCTGTATTTAATAAAAGAGA